ATTTCATCCGGCACAGCTTTAATAAAAAGTAATTCTTTTGTGGTAAACACATGCAACTTTAATATTCTCAAATGTATTTCACTATAAATCTGAATGTGATATAAGACATTATAATTTCATTTATAAACTCCGTTTTCATAATGACAAAAAGAAAATCAAATTTGATTTAAAACAAAATATTAGCGTACAAAAACCAGTCGAAGCGTAACATAAAACTACAGAAGTTGTATGAGATGTCTGATGTTATATTTCATGGTATTTAATAATTAAAATAATTTATCATAACACTGACTATATATGAGTAACTTAACTTCCAGAAAAATATAAGAATCTTGTCGCATTTTTGCCATTTTTTCACAAAAATGTGAGGGAAAACTTTGATTCTTTAAAAATGTACGGCCGTTGCGAGTGGCTATGACTGCAGTGCTTCCACGTGCAGAAAAATATTTCCATACTTTTCTCAATTTCTTTTTCTTATATACATGCACCTACAACCCCCAACCCACAACCCACTATCATTTTTACCATCCCTATGCTTAACTAATTTCGTTTAACCGAGGCGAAGGGTTGTTGTATGCATGTATTTCTAGTAGCGTTATAGATTTGCTAGCCACTGCAAAGGTGATACCGATTTTAACGCGGTCAAGCAAGGCGCGGCTAACATTAAAAGCGCTTGCTACATTCACCATCATACTGCAAATTGTTTCGTCACTATTCTTTTTTTTCTAATAGATGGCTAAAAGAACACGTCTGGAGGGCCCGGGAGAAATACGAAATAACGATGCCTCAACTTCAGGCAGTATAATGGTATGTCTTGAGGACTATTTTATTAAAATTTCTAGTTCGATAAGTCGCTAATATACCCTGATGTTTTAAAACTTGCCGGGCTCGGTTTTCACAACACCTTTTCGAAATTTTGATGCGACTCCCTTTTTCAAACAGTCAATGCAGGGCTCGTTGCCTTTATATCAGGATGGATTTGTGGCCGACCAACAACTGAACGAAGGCCGTGAACATTTCTTTGCCACTTTAAACGCTCCCTGTCTGCAAATATGAAATTGTTATAGACCCTACCGTGATGGGTAATAACTTTACGGCATATTAAGATATTAGTGTTATAGTTATGCTAGCCACTGCAAGAATGATACCAACTCCTTCTGTGGCAAATGTGGCAAACCTGAAAAATCACTTGCTACATTCAGGACCATATTGAAAAATTCCTTCGTCACTAATCTTTTCTTTCCAATAGATCATAAAAAAAGAAGAACAAGAGGAGGAAGATTCAACTTCCAATGATCATGCTACGGTAGGAACGCCATTTCACTAAAGTTTTAATTAAGTTGAATCGCTAATTTACTAATCTCCTGTAAAAGCTGTCTGACTCGGTTTTTTACAATAATTTATCATATTCACCCATAGAGTGCCTCAAGGTTTTATTCTGACGGCATTTCTTTTTGGAATCTATATGTCAACAATCTACAGGCTATAACGATCTCGAGTGATCTCAAAGCTCACGTTGATAATAAAATTCCACCTTATTTTTAGTCGAAGACATACAACAGCCAATCCTTAAATAAGAAAATAAATTGTTTAATACCGCAAAATGGTGGCTGGAACATCAACTGCTAATAAACCCAAACAAGACTAAATTCCTTTTTGTAGCACGTTGCTAAAGATGTAGGGATGTATTTAGACTTAGATCGTACTTAAGATCAAAATTATTGTCTTATGCGACTGTTTCATAACGCCATTCTATAACCGGGGAGAACACACTACATCACGGCGTTGCGAAGAAAATATAACGAAGCAATAGGGCAAGTTGAAAAAGAACAGGCTGAGCGCCAGAACTCATATGAGCCGCTAGGTGAAGCAAGTGGATCTTCAACGGTCGAAAACAATAATTTACTAGCGCTAAGATGGCGAGAACCACTCATTGTTTTACTGTTGTAAAGGAGGAAATATTTATTGACCAAGACTGATTGGATGAAGTCACGTAGTCAAGCATGGTCGCATCCTTTTGAAAATGAAAAACAGTTTTGCTGCCAAAATACACTTGCGATCAAAAAGAACTGCTCAAAACAAGTTTAAATGCTCCCAAATTATCGTGAGCGTAAATGCATGTCCTTCTAACAACATATACGAGTAAATCTAGACTAGTTTACATGCTAAACTATATGAAATATGAATATTTTGTTGCCCTCCCTTGACAGACTTACACTCACCTGCGTGGCATACTTTCTGTTAAGGTGGTAATCTTAGTTAAAGGAAATTCATCCTATGGACAATCTTTACAGCAAACCATAAATCATGGACGCTTTATGAATTAATTCATCTCTTGCACTATCCCTAGGCCTTGACATTGTTCTACAGATTTTCAATAGGGTTAAGGTCTTTTGACTGTGCAGGCCAATCCATTTCTGTCACTCCCTCTTCATGAAACCATTGCTTGATTATCTTGGAGGTGTGTTAGGTTGCATTACATTATTGAAATACTGCTTGAAATAAGAGAATTATCTATAATGCCTATGAAGTCCTCCCCTATACTTGTTTCTTTCTCAAGAATTCGTGTCTAAGCAGTTCTTTTGACCGCTGGTGTTCATATATTTTTCTTATGCCCGAATGATTTCTTTTGTATACTATTGTTCCTATGGTATAATAAACATGAATATATGAATATACACCCCCCCCCTCCAATTGAGCGGTCTAGCTACGGCCCTGGAATGGAGTACATTTTTTTGCCAACTGTATGTTTTTTTTTTCTTCACAGGGAAACTCATCAGACAAATTGCAAGGTACGGTTTCTGCTCGTTTAAACAAACAACAGTTGAAAAACCACAGATTTAGAAAAATCATCATTCGATAATATGAACCACAGAGATTATTTTCAAAACATGAAAAAGTGAATATTTATTATTTAATTTATATTTCAAATATCATTTTCAATAGAATTTTTCAATGAGCTCAAAAAAAAACATGAAAAAAACGAAAAGATCCAAAAAGGGACCGTGGATGAGAGGGCCATGGCGCCAGAATATAAACGAGTAAGTAGCCCAATTTGATAATCTTTTATGATAATATGATACCTGCGCGCGGTCCTATAAACTTTAATAATACTCGCTTTTGGTTCTATTTATACTCGCAACAAACACAGTGTGATTCAATTACATCTATATAGCTATTTATTCCTTAACTTCCCAATAACAGTAATTAACGTCTTTATAAGATTATGACCTTAAGACTGATATAATATATCTTTAAACGTTATAGACTCATCTCTGTCTGAGCACAACTGCACAAAGCCTTGTCTTCAACTTTAACTCCTTTTGTTTAGTACTTCTGCTTTTACAATATAAGATTTAGTCACTGAGGTCTTACGAAGAATGCTGTACGCATTTCTCTGCCCGTGGTTGGTTGCTCTCAGACCTTATACGCTTGCCTACACTAAAGGCTGCTTTCCACTTACGCGTTTTTCACACGCACGTACACGCACGTAAATGTCTAAATCCTCATACATGTTACCTTCGAAAAAACTAAGTGACTAAATCGAAGGAACTTAGTTTTCTGCAAATTTTAGTGTGCATTAGTTGACCTAGATGTTAAATAATAAAAATTTAAAGGCATTTGAAATTTTCCGTACGTGTACGTGCGTATAAAAAACGCGTAAGTGGAAAGCAGCCTTAAAACTACAAGTCATTTCCCTACGCAATACAGTGCGGTGTAGCACATGCATGCTATCGTGGTTTGTGGTTGACACATAATTGTGTTGTGGCTATGAAACGCCTTCTGTCGATCTTTGATAAGTTGTTTAATTTCAGACGTTATTCATGGTTTATCGTTGTTATATTCCCTCTAGTTATCACAATTTAAAAACATAACTGAGACATCAATGGTGAGAGAGTAACTCGCACTACTTCGAATTTGATCTCAGCATGCATGCTAATGATGCATGTATTTTCCACCACAGGCAAAGTTAGTTATTATCCAAGGAATTAAATGAAAACTAATTGAAGTGTGAAGTTACCCATACTGGTAACGTTTGAAAAATACAGTCGTTGATTTGGTTGCATTACTTTATCACCACCAGTTGATCAAGACAATTGAAGCAACTGCAATTGAAAATTGTGTAATACGAAATCGAGGTTCCAACGTTTCGCCTGGATGTCGGCCACTCGTGCCAAAATCGACTTCGTAATTTACTGCCAAGTTTTAACTATTCTAGAATGATGACATTAGTATGTCATGCATGATAATGACATATTCGTTGCTTTCGGCACAATTGTTCTACCGTTTTGACACTTGCTGTCGCGTCATACTTTCTGTCGCTGTCAGGAGTTGAAACAACTGGTTGCTATTTAGTTCGAACGAAATCCAAGGGATTACGAACTCCTATCGAAAACGTTCATGCCTTTACGTGTTTTTTGCACTTTTTTTCATGCATATATGTAAAATGCCCGCAAAGGATTGTAGTTAAATAAGCATGCCGCCTTGCTTTTCTCTTAAGGCGAATTTGTCATGCAGCTGAGAATAACTCAAATGTTATGACCAGTTTTTGATATTTGAAGAAGGTTAAATTTAAGTTATCCGTCAGTGAAAATCGAAACCGGATGTATTTGCAGATATGCCTGCTTGCCATTATCGCTGCACGGCCCTCGAGGTCGCGCGTAAAACGTCTTTAAAAGATTTGTTACCTTAGTTGAGACGTTAGGCAATCTAGACTAACTGCTAAGCGTGTAATTAAAACTTATACTTTTTTTTTTTGGGGGGGGGGTTTGTAAAACTCGGGCCTGCATGATGAGTGCAAAGCACTGAGATGTTTACGTTAACAAAACTGCAAAATTTCTTGGAACGAAAAGTTTAAAATATCACCATTTACTGGAAAACCAACTAGGTATGGTCGCTACAATACATTACGATTTTGTAATTTGCCCTCATTGAGCTCGAGTAGAGGCGAGGTATGACTGATATTATCGACCTTGGCTATAAGCTTATTAGTTGTATAACTAACAGTTTGAATTTAACTTCCTTGATGAAACGAAAGTTGGTCGGGGTGGAATTTTCTGGTGCAAATCCTCCTTAATATGGTACCGAACATCATCGCTGGTAGAGGGTTGCAATGCCTGGTAAACGTTTGCTGGTTCTTTGTTTTCTTTCAACGACATGTAATCCGATGAATCTTCTCCTTTGTCTGTCCCACGTACACCATCATTTCGCTCAATTTCTTCAATAACATCATCTGTAGTTTCGTATACTCTCTCATCATTTATGGGCGTACCTGGTTCTTGATCATACTTAATTGCCCCTTTGCGGGTTTCCGGACCTAAGTTTAGAATCGAACATACAAAATTAAGCCCAAGAAATGTTGCCTTTTGATAAGCTCGGATTTGGTTTAAAGAACTCAACACCTACCGGAATCCGTCATCTGGGTCGTTTCATGGCCTTCGTTATCTTTTCTTTTGTTATTTTGAATCAGACGACGTTGATAAACAATAACACCCAGTGAGACCAGAAAACATAAAGACAAAATAACCAGCGGTATGAGAAGTTCAACACGTGTGTCATCCTCGTTGGTTTTTTGAGAATTTTTCCTCTTCAAGCCGTCTACAAAACACAATCAATTGGTTAAGGTTTTTTAGCACTTCGTTCCATGAAGGAAACATGAATAAAATTTCTTTCATCACAACAAAACTCACAGGCTCTATAAATACAATAGAAAAGAGCATTTCCCTTGCTCTCGTGTCTTGCTTTGCAAACACCCTAGTTTTTGATCTTGCGCCAGCTTTGGTAAACTTGAGCGAAGTTCTAACGAATTTTAATTCATAAATGCCCGAATCAGGGCGATATGGCGTGAATGTGATGAAATTACCTTCATCTTTGTTGAAAGTCATTGGCGCACTCCAAAATGACCAGAATCGTTTCTAAAAGAAAACTTACAGAAGTTTAAATATAATTCAGTGACTGGTGATAGTGAGATCACGGCTGTTGCCAGGATTTTGATAAGATTAACATTTCTGTTTGTCCTTTGTTCAAAACCCTGTCCACCTTCAGTGATGAAAAGATGATAGGTTGATATGTTCGACGACTCACCCCAGATTTGTCTTCATTCATTTGGGCTAATCTGTAAGTCGCATCTGGTTTAAGTTCATAAACCTCATCGGCATCTCTTTCTCTACACTTTTTCTTCTCCGACGACTTTCGAAGCTGGATTTCTATCGGATTTGAACTTTTAAAGTCACTTATATTATATTCTTTCGCAACGAATGCGCCATTTTCACCAGCAGCCTCGTCGTGACCTTTTAGCTCCACATCTTCTGGTGCAGGGCTTTGGGCTGAGGCTGGCGGAAGCCGAAGGACTACCAATGAAACAGTTCTGAGAAAAAGAGCGAGTACATAAATCAATTGAATTCTACCGAGACAGTGAATAATGCCACTGTTTAGAGATTGATAATCCTCTTATTCCTAGCTTCAATGAGTACAAACCAAAAACAAGACCTACCTTATGTTTTCGACTTTTGGCTTTTTCAGTATAACTGTGTAAGTACTATCATTATTCTTTTGAGGGGCCATAGGTTCTGAAATGGGAAAGACAATAATGTGAACAATGAATGTAAATAATTTTAACTTGCTTCTAATTAAAACTGAAAGGACCAAAAACTCTTTTATCTTTGCTATGTGCAACAGATTCAATAATAAAATTAAATAGGTTTAGGTCTACCTGACTTTTAGATTTTAACTGAATTTTATTCTGCTTTTTAAACTTTTTGATGTAAGTAATATCAGTAGTATCATAATTAATTTTAATACAAAGGTTGTAATCATTACGTAATTCAGCTTTTGCTGCAAAGTAATTTGAATAAACCTCTATTCTATTCTGAATCATATCATTTTAATGTGGTGATAATTGGTTTCTTATTAAGGTAAACATGTGAATCCAAAGAGATTCGAGGAATTTACGCCTGTATTCAAAAAACTCACTCACACTCACTCAGTGTGACATAGAGATTGTGTTATTACTTATGAATTAGATAGTCTTTTAAATGGTCTTTAACTAATGGTAAGATTTAAGATAAAATTTTCAAACGTTGCATTCAGTTATTATATACAGGTCAGCTGAAAAAGGCGAGCGCGTGGGGGTGCTTGGGGTGGTTTTTTGTGAAAGCAAAAAAATGTTATATATTTTACTATTAAAGCGCCTGGCTACGAGGCTGCTTTCAATTGAGTGGAAATATTCCACTCAATTGGTTCGACTGTGAGTGAGTGCATAGACGTTATGAACAGTGGCGTAGCCAGCCTGACGATTTTGTCCCGCTATGTAAATTTCGAGCTATTGTAATTACCCATGTCTTTAGAAATCTATTGTTTTCACAGTCAGTGAACACCAAAGTATTAGCATAGCGGGGAAAATCGACAGGCTGCCTACGCTACTGGTTATGAACTGTATTTTTGATATTGTTTATTATACCCGAATGAGAAAACCAGGTTATTTTTCCCAATCCACTTTTTCCAGTTTCAGTTTCAAGGCCAATTTCAAACGTGTACTTCGTATCATAATCAACATTAACTGTGACTGATTTTTCGTTCGTCGAGATCTCCACTGGTTCCTTTTTTGATCCAACTGTTGCCGCTACCAGCGCTGCATAGTACTTCTTGACAGTCTGGCCAGTACGCAGTGATATTGACCAGGATATCTTGTACTTGCCTTTGTCGATTGATTTAGCATTTAAGTAAAATGGAGCTGGAAATGATAGAGAAGATAAAGGATTATTAAGCTGGATGGCGCTATACCCACTGGATAGTGTTTTTCTTAATCGCTCCATAATTACCCGTTGTTTGGCATAACTTTGATTATATTTTGAAAAATAACTGATGTCCATTGTGTCAAATCTTTTGGGAGCGATAGTATATGCATGTCAGCGTTAAGTTCACAGCTGACACTGATGCATATTATTGCTCCCATGCATAAGATTTTATTTAGTAATGTGGACTACGTACCTATTATAATATTATTATTATCGAACTATCCAACAGCTTACCTGGAGGTTTTGCAGAAGCCTTAACACTTTTGCTCCAAGCCGTCGAATAGTACTGATCATAGTACTGAATGTCATATTTAAGAGAAATAAATATCAATTCAATAAAGAAATATAAAGATATACACATTATGATTGCTTTTCCACAAAACGTACCCCGCTTTCAAAATATCTTAGGAACGCGACATATCTTTTGTTGTTTCTTAACGGTTGGTTCAAATATTTTTCTGTTTTAGAATTATATTCTTTGCCATCGCCGATCACAAACATCTTGGGTAAAACATCAGCTTTCAAATAGGCAGTGATATAAGGTTTGTCATAGCTTCTAGACCAGTAAGATCTGAGAGATTTGGTTTGGATGTTTTCAACCGGTGTCCTTTCTCCTGAGTCCATTTTTACAATGATGATTACACTTCTACAAAAAAGAGAGGACGACTAGAATTGTTAAACTTAATTTGAGTTTCAATATCAAACTATTAACTAGGGAGCAGCGTGGCAGCGTCTGCAAACAACTTAGCATCAAATGCGGTATAAAAACTGCCTAAAATAGACAAAACACTTCTCGACGTTTCGACCTGAGGGCCGGTCGTATAAAAACGTAGTTAACTTTAACTATGATTAGCGCTAATCACTGTAGTTAAATCCTTAACTATGATTAGTTAACTACACGACATAACTGCGTTGCACAAAACGTAGTTAGTCGGATGATTAACTAATCACGTAGTTAACTTGCGTGGAGTTTGCGTGGGGTTGTTAAAAAGAGAAATAGCATGTAGTATCACGAAATTATTCACCGCTGTTATTCATTTTGAACAGGACTGCGGACTCGTATTTACAAAAATTGACAGTATTTTCACAGAATACCTAACAGAAGTAGAACTCCTGTACTTTTTTCGTAAGTGTGATTCGTCACTCTTAGCAAGTGCATTTTTTGAGGCTGTCACCCCCCTGCCAATGTCTAAAATCAGCTCATTTCTAGTATTGGCAGGGGGATGACAGCCTCAAAAAAATGCACTTGCTAAGTGACGAATCATGACGAATCACACTTACGAAAAAATAGTACAGAGTTCTACTTCTGTTAGGTATTCTGTGGTATTTTGATCTAAAATATTGTAAAAAAATGCAATAAAACAAGGAAAATGTTCAAAATAATTCAACGAAAACGGCGCTCTTAATATAAAAAGGTCCCTTTGAGTCAGATATATTGCAATTGAAGATGGAGATAGCTAATCTTTGCTAGGATCGTAATTTGGCATCGACACGTCTCCCGAAGCAAACGTCTCCGTTGCTGCCCAAAGGACAAAAATAAAAGCATATTGAAAGTTTACAAGCTTCGACGGGGCCTTTTCTAAGTGGATAACGGTTGACATCCTTGGTATGTGTTTATTTTAATGTTTTCTCACTCCTCAAAAGCTCAAGACGCCATTTTTAACTATGTTTTGAAACTTTAACTGTGCCCTTGAGGATAGTTAACTTTAACTAGATTTTAACTACAGTTAACGCTAACTACGTTTTTATACAACTGGCTTAAATACGTGATTAAAGTTAACTACGTTTTAACTACAGTTGGGTGGTTAAAAAGTAGTTAAAAAGTAGTTTTATACAACCGGCCCCTGAGCCTGAGGGCCTTTAGTCTTAGTCTTACTTACTCTCCTGACGAAGGCCCTCAGGTCAAAACGTCGAGAAGTCTTTTTAGGCAGTTGTTATACCACATTTGATGCTAAGTTATTAAGGAACTGTTTAGATTATCCTGCTTTTAGCTGAAATTCAACCGAAGGTGCAAAATGATTTTGAGGTGTTGAAATGAGTATATAAAACGTGATCCTAGCAGTTGTGTAGCCCATCCCGGCTAACAGTCGCACAAACAACAATAGCTTGTGCTTGTTTTGTTTTGTTTTGTTTCATAACGACTTATTTCAATACCTCAAATCATCTCACGCTTCGTGACCCGTGACAGGTATAAAAAGCCCCTAACTGTGTGTAAACTTACTTGATATAATCTGCTTGTTTCTCAATGTTTATCCTTAGAGTTGAGGAGGTATCTTCGAAAAGTTTAACAGGCCCTATGAAAATGTTAAATGATATACATTTAATATATAGAAAGCAGGCAACATGCATTAATTGCTATGAGAAAGTGCGTATTAACTAGGTTTTCAAACTGTCGGACCTTGCATGCATACCCATGCAGCAATTGCTTGAAGATTCCTATCTTTTACCTATCAGAAGTCAGTCGTATATACAGTGACTCTAGGCAGTTCAATAATCGAAGTTACAGTAACACTTGACCATCCTGAATGGTCATGAAGTTCCGTCACTGGGTATAATAGTTGAATCTTGCCGCTATTGTTTTTTACAACCAGCCCAGGCGCGCGATTGTGATTACGGATCAGATTACTTAAATATCAGTTGCCTGCATTAGAACACTCTTAACTGCTTCATTTTAATAGATATAGATACGCAACATTGCTATGGGAGAGCGCGTGTAACTAGGTTTTCAAACTGTCTGACCTTATATACCCATGCAGCAATTGCTTGAAGATTCCTATTTTTTACCTATCAGAGGTCAGTCGTATAAAACTCTTAACAACACATTTTGGACAGTTTAATCGAAATTACAGTATAATAGTTAAAACTATAGTGCCACAATTGTTTTTTTACAACCAGCCCAGGCGCGCGTTGTGATTACGGATCAGGAAACACTTTAGCTATCAGTTGCCTGAAAACACTCTTAACTGCTTCGAATTCCAATTAAAAATCTGGCCTTTACCTCCATCTGTTATTCCACTGACTGCTGTACTTTTCGGGCCAACACCGCCAACTGTAGCAGCCGAGATTGTCACGAAATACTTAGTAGAAGATTGAAGTCCATTTATAGTATATTTATACGACCATGCCGTGGTGGCGAATGACGTAGCGGAAATGCATGTCAGACTATTTTTATTTTCATGAATATAACGGCAAACTTTGAATCCAGTCAGCTTCCCAGCATTCCATGAACTTTTACGAGGAGCCGTCCAGGTTATATTCAATGAGGTTTGACTACGCGCTGTGAGTTTAACAGAATAAGGGCGTTCACTGGGAGCTGAAACAGAGATAACAATATAGGCACAGAATAGACATTATACCAGAAGCCTCGCTTTCGCATTTGGCAATTTTTTGAGAGTGTGACGCCACCTAACGCAAGCCAAATACGAGAGCCATGATGGCGCTTTGTATCCAATTTGTGTCTTGCTCACGCCATCCTAGTGTGTGCAGCTAGGAACTTTTTCATAGGGGTACAAAGTTCCTGCACACACCAGGATGGCGTAGAATTCCGTAGAATGACGCGTGCGCTTCTTAAAAATTTCCGACACGAAAACATTAGCAAAATGCAAAGATTGAGACTTCTGGTATAATTTCTATTCTGTGATACAGGTCTGGTGTCACACAAAGTTTGATTGGTTCCGCATTTGACGTCAAAGGCTTTCCGCGTTTGACGTCATTACGAGAAAGGTTTATTATTGCATGCTTTATTGCATTAATCTTAGATTTAAGGATTTACGTCCAGTATATATGTGCATTAGGGATTATAGTTAGATTTAGATAAGAAGTTTAGTTAGATTAAAAATGCAAGGTTTGAAACTGAAAATTCAGCGCTAAACTCGCGACCCGTTTCTTTAAACCAAAATAAAAACTAGGGGTTTAAAGGGTCTTAATTTTGAGTGGAATTATACACACTTCAAATTGCATTGCACCGGCATCGCAAAAGCGTACGTATAGGTCAGTTTCCTGCCGGAGGACCTATAGTTGACTTATTTTTCCTTCAACTGTTTCTGGCTTGAATTTGAAGCGTGTATAATACTGTAATATAGGAAACATGATACACGTAATATGCACAATGAACAATGCACAATTAGTTATTGAAAAGGGAAATCATGTAGCGATATAGCACAGTATGATTAAGCACAAAACAGTTAGTTGATACAGGAGCACGAGAAGAGCACATCTCAAGCACCGAAGCACGAATAAAGAGTTATAAATATATGTGTGTGTTCTGTGAGTATTTGTAAAGAGCTGTCTCCCCAAACGACCCGACGATCCCGGACGTTAGAAGAGCCTAAACGAAGCCACACAAAAAGGGTCGTTTTACAATACCACAAGAAATTAAAACCCTTTCAACCTCCAAAATTTACCTACATCGAGTAAAGTGCCAAAAATCATAAATAAATTTCATTTTTGAATTGGTGTATTCTGCTATGTTTATGATTACCTGCTTCTTTTGTCCTAAATATTTTGTATACTACTCCGCTTCTCGGAATGTAATTGTCTACGGCTTCAATTCCAACTTGATAATCAGTATATGGCTGGAGACTATTGATATTATACTCATTTTCTCGTGGAACGGATACGAGATACCTTCCGACCAAATATATTTTGATTCTTTTTATATAACTTGAACTGGAGGAAGTTGGTAATTTCCAAGTTACTAGTGCTGAATTCTTGGAAGGATTAATTCGAACATCGTTCACGGAAGCTGGTCGCTGAACTAAATTCGGATGAAAAAAAACACTCAGGATACCATTCTATATTTTCACTCAGTGTTTCAAAATTTCCACTGCACATCTTTTAATAAGAAAGTGGCTACATCAAAACAAATCACAGATATTTATACCAAGTGTTTCGAAATGAACATATAAACTCACCCACTCCACAGAGTTCTATTCTAAGACAAACGTCTGTGTTTCCAGTTGATTCTATCTTAATATATCTCACATTATAAATATCAACGTCTGTAGTCGATGCTTGATAACCGTTCTGGTTTCCTGAAATCTTTTATAGAAATTGAATAAAAATGATAACATTCCGTTAAAGTATGACGATAAACACAAAACAACAATGTTTGCAGTTTGGGCGCCATATCATGTAAAGTTAAAACACCTGCAGGAAATTAACGAGTAGCGAAGACTCTCATATTATTTTATCATCACTTTATTCCTTTAACTATACCTGTACTACACGACTGCTATCCACCAAACTTCCATTATGACTGTATTTCAGTGAATATGATTCACTCCACTTTGTCTGATCTTTATCACCCATGACCACAACTCGTGTTATGTGATATTCTTTTTGAAGGTCGATGGTGAGATATGAGCCAGGCGTCGAGGAACACCAGCCACCTTTAGTAAACCTTGCTTCGTGAAAACTATTACCTCCATTGCCACCAAATATGTTATGAAGAAATTTATTCAAGTTGTTTAGCAACTGATTGTCACAAATCTTACCTGTAGATAGAAATAGATGACATGATCGAATCAAGGATATGCTTATTAATGTAAAGGTAGCAAAGGGCGTAGTCAGAAGAGAAAATAGGGTGGTTGTAACCCTCGAGAAGTAAATGTGGAAAAAAATTATAAAAACAAGTAACAATGATGTCGTAAAATTACTGCTTTTCTGCTGAAATGCGAAAGAAATATCCTATATTTTGACTGCAAAACAAATCAGTAGATTTTTGGGCAGGCACCTCGGGTGTTATAAAACATGTCAATCCCAACAATTGGACATACTCACATTCAACAAATGGTATTTTATCAGTTGATGTCGCTGTTTTTGGTTGAAGATAAACACAACATGATGTTTCTCTGGACGTAGTGTTATAACAAACAAAGTCACCAGCTACGATACTCTCACCATTGCGAGCTCTTCCAAAACCAACTTTATTGTTGAGACGGTCTTGAAATCCAAAGTGTTGACATAACCACCTCTCATTGTTTTCATCCAAATCTTCTTCAGATACTCTCAACCATGTTTTTTCGTATATGTAGAGGTAGCCTCTGTAGCCGCTTGATAATCTAATTTGAAGTCCTGAAACTAGACGAATCAATTACAGAATTTATTTGTTTCATACATTCCGAAAACCAACCAGTGTTTTCGGAATATTTCAACATCAAACTTGAGTGAATCAAACAATAACATGGACATTAGGACAATGATGTGGAACCTCACATATTATTGCCCTTTTCGAGCGATCTTCCTGCATCATAACAACGCTAGCAAGCAAGATTATTTAGATTTATTTAAAAGATGACCTCAAGATGTGGCGAGAGTATTGATTTATTGAAATTATTTATAAATCACAGTATTGGTAAGAGCCATGCATGCAGTGGCATTTTCCGACGTGGGGAATGATTGATGAACAATTTCCCTAAAAAACCTCAGTAATATACTCTTGAACGATCGATGTAAATCGTGAGTTTTGTAAATGTGGGTAGAAAAGGTCTAGTTGATATAAACACAGAGGTTTCGTAGTTGCCAAATTTACATCTCTTAAAAGAAGAATTGCAATGTTTTACACGGCCTTTCAACGGCGAATTTATTCATAGGTATAATAAATAAATATGGTTTAAATCCGTTTAATTATATTGCCATGTCTTCATTTAATTATACCCTCACAAATCAGATGATAGTGAAGTTGTGCACTTTACCTGTCGTTGTTATGGGACTTGTATAGTTATCCACACAAGTGTACTCGGTATAAAGCTCTTCCCTTGTGTTAGAACAGAGGTTTGGCAATAGTAAATTATTGTCAACGACCAGTTCACAAGATCTCTTTCCACCACAAAGAGATTTCAACCTACAACTTGTCACTGCAGTACATTGTGCATCACTGTGGGCTCTGCTGTCAAATGTACCGCTATTGTCGAATTTGCCATAATATGCTTTGTGGATCACCATACGTTGTTTTAGAGAACAATGAACATATTTCATTTTGTCGCCGTACTTTGTCACTGAACCTGAAATCGAGTTTCACAGAAAAATACAAATAATTTTGCATATTTCTTGATCACACAAACTAGATCAAATTATCAATCAAATAGACATAACAGAAATAGACCTTTTCAGCGAGGGGCATAAATTATACATGCACATATGATTTAAAACTGGGGAGCTATAAGTTGCATATCTTTTATTAGTTACTTACCAAAAGTAAACGTCTGGTCAGATGTGTCGCAATATGTTCTTCTATACAGATAATCTCCAGAAAGCTCAGCGCATCTCCCGTCATTGTAAAAGTATAAAGATCCAGCGTCAGTTTGTTTCAAATTTTGACTACTGAGTTTTTGGCTGTTTTTTGCTCTTCTTGATATTGCTATATATATCGCTAAACGATTCTGATATCTGGCTGCTGAGATAGAAAAAACGATCCCCCGACTCGATATGCCACAATATTTCTGTATCATTGTAACGAAACTGTGCTTTATCGTCCAAGCAGTTGCCAGTCATTATGACCCAGTAAGGAAGTGCATGACTAGGTTCATTGTATATCAGACTGTGTCTTCGAGTTATACACTTCTTGGGCGCACTACTTTGCCGCATAAAAAAACTTTGACAATCTGTAAGCAAGAAAGGTGGTAAGAAGAATTGAATTATTGAATCCGTTAAAAAATTAAAGTGAAAAAATGTATAAAAAATTAAAACCGTTTTCCACCACGCAAAGTAAGTTATTATGCAAGAAATTAAAAGAAAATGAATTGAAGCAAGCAACGTATGCTGGTAAGAACGTTTGAAAAATACAGTCGTAGATTTTGTTGCATTACTTTATCACCATCAGTTGATCAAGACAATTGGGAAGCAAATGCAATTGAAAAATATGCCCTGGATGTCGGCCACTCGTGCCCAAAACGACTTCATAATTAATATTTTATTGCCAATTTTAACTATTCTAGAATGATGATATTAGTATGTCATGCATGATAATGACATATTCGTTGCTTTCGGCACAATTGTTCTACCGCGTTTTGACACTTGCTGTCGCGTCATACTTTCTGTTGCTGTCAGGAGTTGAAACAAATGGTTGCTATTTAGTTCGAACGAAATCCGAGGGATTACGAACTCCTGTCGAAAACGTTCATGTGTTTTTTGCACTTCTTTTCATGCATCTATGTAAGATGCACGCAAAGGATTGTAGGTAAATAAGCATGTTGCCTTGCTTTTCTCTTAAGGCGAATTTGCCATACAACTGAAAATAACTCAAATGTTATGACCAGTTTTTGATATTTGGAGAAGAATAAAATTTAGGTTATCCGTCAGTGAAAATCGAAACCGCGTGAATTCTCAGATATATC